GCAGTATGTTTTGTTTTGATGTTCGCACAAACACAGAGCAAGTTCCCCCCAAAGGCCGGTTCTTATGTCCTGGAATTCCAACTTTATTCTCTGAGGCTGGGGCGCGCGCTTTAATCTCAGAATGAGCACAGGTAGGGTACAGCTCGACCCAGGCTCTGGGTCCAGATCCCTCCCAGCAGAGCTCCTGACCTGTGCTCCCCTGAACCCTCGCTGCACGGAGGGCCAAGCGCCTGCCCAGAAACACGACTGCGGCCTTCTTTCTTGTTCTGAGCCTTGTTTCCTAACTAACTGTGCGGGTCAGAGCGGCGAGCGCAGAGGAATGCTCCCTGTGCCAAAGGGGACGAGAGGAAACCCAATCGCAAGATGATCGGACGGGGCAGAAAAACACACCCCTTCTCCTGCCCCTCCACAGGCATCTTCCTGGGTCCGGAACGTCTTAGACTTTGTCTAGAGAAGCCAGGACTTCAGGGCGCAAAGAAATGCCCTTCCGGTCCGAGGCATCTGGCAGCGCGGGGGTCCCTGAGGCAGCCCCAGACTGGAGGGGGAAAGACAAGGCCCAGACCCTGCTCTCCAGGGGCGGCTCCCTGGCCCCCCGCCAGTGCTGGGCCGCTGGACCCCCACCCGCCGGCTTTTGCTTTTGTTTTCTCGGCGCCTCTTGCCCCAGTCGGCCTGCAGTGCCCTGAGCACTGGGCCCCTGTGGCTACTGGACCAGGCCCTCTCGGCACCCGGCTGGATTAGGTCCATTCGCCCGGGTCTTAGTTACCCAAGTGGTGTGGGGACCATAAAATGCACGTCGCTTCAGGCCCGATTCAGTTTTTCAGTGCAAGAAAACCGTACCCACGGCCCACCAGGCTCAGGCCCTGCTCGCGTGGCCTCGGCCGCGCCTTGTCCCCGCAATGACGGAGTCAGCCGGCTGTTCAGTGGCCGGTGCCTACTTCCTTGCTCACAACACCCACTGGAGCACGCAAGCGCTGCTCTAACGCAGCTGCCTTGGCCCGCGAGCCCCGATATGTGCGCGGCCCTCTGCACACAGGTGCGCTCGCTCGTCACGTTAAAGCAGGTTCTGATGCCAAGTCCTGGACCACAAAATAGCAGGACACAGGCGGGACGCTAAGGAAGCAGTCGATGCTTTGATGTTCTGGCAGAATGATAAAAGCCCGAGCTCCTTCCTGAAAGGCTGGCAGGGCTTAATGAAGGACTCCAGGGCAGCCCTAGCGTCTTCAGCGGGGTCATAAGGACCTTGGCCACCCGGCCTAAGACCTGAGGGCGCTGCCCATGTGGGGTACTGGGGGAGGGAGGGTCGTGCTGGGTTTGTGCGCGGGGACTTGTGCTGATCTGTGTGCTGCGGAGACTGCCTTGCTCCCTGCCGGCGCCTTACCAGGCCCCCAGGTCTTAGTGGCCCTGGCCCAGCGGGAGGGGCACTCCCAACGAGGCCCCACAGGGTCCTCTCACAGCGGGCCAGCTCCTCGGAAGTGTCTGCCTCCGGTGTTCCTGGGAGACGGCAACAGGGCTGGGTAGGTATTCTATAGGGATGGGAACAAGAAGGCGAGGAAGGAAAGGCAGAGGGTCCCCGGCACACGTCAGGACTGAGACATTCTCTCTCCCGAGCATTCCCAGACTCGGTCGGGAGTTCTTCGAGACTCCCAAGGAAGGCCGGGCAGCGGGAGGCCGCTGGGCAGAGGCACAGAAGCCTGCTTGCTCCGCCTGGCAGTTTTCAGCAGCTCCAAAAGAATCATGTATCCAGATCCCGAAGTTTTGGGAGCTTGTGCATGCTCCCCATGTATGGGATGGGGAGAGAGCAGCCTTGAAGAAGGGTCAGAAATCCCTTTCCTGTGTGGTTTTTTCTTCCTAGAGTATGGTTTCTCCAAGGCTATGAAGCCTTAGAGTCTGGGCCTTCCCGGAGAGGAGGAGAGAGCCAGCAGGGCTGGCAGGACAGCTGGCAGGCTGGGAGAGGAGTAGGCAGGCCGGGAAGGAAGGGGTGAGCCCACGGAGGGCTGTGTGTGTGCGTGTGTGATTGACAGCTGGTCCAAGGGGATACACAAATAAGACGGGAAGGCCGCCTGTATTGGTTACTTGTTGAAATTCCCATAAAATTGAACAAGACTCTGTTCTCAGTGGGTTAAGTCAGGCTAAAATCCTCTCCCGTGTGGTCCTGCCGAGACTGTCTTTGTTTGGTTAACCTCTGAGACCCACATTGAAAAGGCCTATTTGGGAAATTTCACCCTCCAGGGAACCAACATCTTTTGCCCATTTCTGGGCTTCCCTTCTCCCCTGGTGCTCCCGCAGCACACCGGCTCAGGAACACAGAAGGTATGCATCACCCTGCAAGCCACTGTCTCATTGCTGTGGGAGGCCCGTGTGAGACAGCAGCTTGGGACCTTGCCTTTGACTGGCAGGCGCATCGGATTTTAATCTGCAGCCCTGGGTACTCAGAGGGAGGTGGTGTAAGGGTTTATCTCTATTCTCCAGAAAAACCTGGCCAAATATTCAAATTCCCTCCTCCATCCCCACCATCTCCTCCCACCTCTCATCACCTTCAGCAAGTCAACAAATTTTCATAATCTGCGACCAACACAATGTAAACCAGCCGCACTACAAGTGGCATCCACAGGGCAGGCTCATTTATCAGGGGAGTCCCAGCAGGGTCCTTCAGGTCCTGCCACCCCCGACCTGTATCATCAATGTGTGTCCATTGTAGGGGGGAGGCAGGGAAGGGGAGGGGACCTAAACAGTTTGGTGACCCCCTCTCCACTGGCAAATGTCCCTTTAGTGAAAGATCCTGGGCGCCAGCTCTGACCCTCTCACCCCCTCCTCTTTACACTTGCCCAGCTGCAAACATCTCCCTACACACACCCCAACATACAGAACATCTCCGATTCTCACATTTACTTTGGGACAAAAGTACAGCAAAATGAACTCAAGAAAAAAAAAAAGGACGAAAGAAACTAGACACAGCTTCCTGACCAAGGTCCCCAAAGGTCACATGCCTTCTCTCAAAGCTAAGTCAGACTCGGAACAGGAGACCTGCAGTCTCCTGCACAGGGACCCCCATCGACCCAGGAAGGCAGGGGACTTCACACCATGCTCACAGCAGCCAGACGATTCTGAAAGTTCAGCTGCTGGCCAAGGATACTGCGAGGACAGTAAGACCCCATCCCTGTTCCCATGAATAAGGAGGCTCTCCCCAACATCTGCTTTTCCCAGTGCCCTCAGACCTCCGGGCTTCGGGGGCCCTGTTTGTGGCAGTGGCAGTGGCAGTAGCCGCCAGCCCTGGAGGCCTAGAGGCGATGTGCCTAGCTGGCTGCGCTGGAGGGCGTTGCGTTACCTGAGAGGTCCTCGCGGGCGTTCTGGTGCAAGTAGCTCTGCTCCAGCGAGTAGGAGGACATGCTGGAGTGCAGGCCTGCAGAGGCTGCGGGGTTGCTGCTCGGCGTCAGGGCAGGCGGCTGCTTGAGGTAAGGCGAGGCGCCAGGCGAGCTCCAGTGCGCCGCAGGGCTCGTGTACGGCGAGTGGCATTCGATGGCGCTCGCCATGGCCGGGGACGAGGGCACTGGGCTGCTGCTGCTGTCCGGCCCGTAGTCTCCGCCGCCGCCGCCCCCGGCCGCACCGACGCCCCCGGGTCCCGCGGGCACGGGGCAGCTGGCCATGTAGGTGGAACCCGGGTTGGGCGACATGTGCGGGACGTGGTGGTGGTGATGGTGATGAGGGTGCGCATGGCTCGGGGCGCCCGCGCCGGCGTCGTAGCCCGCGGGCATCATGTCGAGGCCGCCGTAGCCGCCCTGGCTGTGGCAGCCGAGCGGCGCCGACGGGGGCGCCTGGAAGTCGAAGCCCTGGGGCAGCAGCGAAGTCCCGAAGCCCAAGCCGCTCACCACGCGGTGGTACATGGGCTTCAGCGCCTGGCACTTCCGCCTGAAGCCGCGCGGCCGGCGGCGGAACGAGCCCTCCTCGAACATGAACTCGCTGGCCGGGTCGATGGTCCAGTAGTGGCCCTTGCCCGGCCGCCCGAGGCCCTTGGGCAGCTTGATGAAGCACTCGTTGAGCGAGAGATTGTGGCGCACGGAGTTCTTCCAGCCCTGGTAGGCGCCGCGGAAGAAGGGGAAGCGCGCCTGCAGGAACTGGTAGATCTCGCTGAGCGTCAGGCGCTTGCTGGGCGAGCTCTGGATGGCCATGACGATGAGCGCGATGTACGAGTAGGGCGGCTTCTCGGGCCGCCGCAGCCCCGAGCTCGCCTTCTTGGCGCCCCCACTACCGGCGCCCGCGCTGCCGCCGCCGCCCGCGCTCTTGCAGGCAGCCGAGGGGGCGCTGGCAGAGTTGGAGGAGGACGAGGACGAGGCGCAGGAGGCGGAGGACGACGACGACGAGGAGGAGGTGGTCTCCAGGGCGGCGGCGGCGGCGGCGGCGGGCGGCGGGCTCATTAGGGCGGCCTGGAGCGCGCCGGGGGCCGGGC